CCATTTACTCCTATTTAAGAGATGTAAATTGTACATTAATCAATTTCAATCAGAAATTCAGTGCTGTTTTAACCTGCTTTCTCTTGGAAATCTATGAGTGGAAATAAACCATAATTATTACAGATAGGAGCATTTAAAAGTCAAAAACAAAGTATCAAAAAGGGCTTTAAAATCTTATTTACTTTCATTAACAATGTAAAAAAGGCTTTGTAAAAATTCTGAACTTTTTTTCATATTAGGGGATTTACAGAACAATACCCCAGGATTAGCCAATTTGTTGTCAGACCTTAATAAACTTGGGGTTTTATTCTCTTGTATTTAAAGCCATTTCAATCCTCCCAGAAAAAAAAAATCTGCACAATCAGCAAGAAACTCAAAAGCTGCTGACAGCTCTATGGTAGAAAATGAGCAGAAAGCACTTTTCATCAAAAACATAAAGGGTATATGTTCCATGTTATCTTTAAAATGGTATTTAAAAAGGAAATTTCAGCACACTGCTGCAGAACTAAAAATAAAACCAGCAGATTGAAATGAACCAAAGATTAGCTATGGAAATAAATTCACATTTGTTCTGTTCTCAACAAAGGAACATGGTTGGGAATTAAAAGTGGCCTGGCCTAAAGAACGTCAAACTCTTACAGGGTAAGTACAGATAAAGGCAGAATGATCCAAGGTGATCATCTGCACATGGTCACATAAACAGCAATTACAGGAGCAAAGCCTTAACTTTGCATTTGAGCAGTGTGAGTGAGACTTGTGACACGTGATTTGTGTCCTGCTTGAACTGAGTGGCAGCAAGAAGGGCAGGAGTCAGAGCTGTTATCACAAGAGCTGGCACCATCACCATCCCTGTACCAGGGACTAAGAGCAACAGAGGCTTGAGTGGAAACCAGGCTGGGCATGAAGAAACTGATTATGGATTACATCCAGCTGCATATTTTATCTGCTTTGGTTTTAAATAATATAGCCAGATGTGGAACAAATGTTTTTCTCATAATTTATTTTAACATTGTTAAGGTCATACGGAAGCTTTAAATTCCAGTAAAATGTTCTGGTTTAGAACTGATTCATTGTAAGATTTACTTTTACAACTACTGTCACCTCTAGCAAGACCATTTAGAAAATACTACTTGGAACCTCTTTTCCCTTTTTTTGGCCACTGATACTGCATGATATACATGCAACCTGATTTTCCAATTGACTTCCACACCTCCATAGACACCAGATTCAAAACTGATGATAGGAAATACTTTCACAAATAAAATATCATCTTTCTCTCCCACTCACTGTTGAACATGCACAATCCATTATGCCACAGTATTTAATATTCCTGTCTAAATGAAAATGCTGATGCTTTAAGTCTGGACAGAAAAAACTCAGTTAAAGAAGTATATTTATAGTGGATTGGCAAAAATAATTCAGCTTTGCCCTTCTATCAAAAAGACCCCACTCAGTATTTTTTATGCTATTCAAGGGAAACTTGCCAGAAGGTGACATTTCTGCAGATGCTCTTCAAAATTGGAGTTGATGTAATTATACACACAGCAGGATTATGGATGCTGAAGCACAAATGAGTATAAATTTGTAAAAACATCATAGTATTTTATGACTTGTTAGGCAGCTTGGACTGTCTGATTCTTCACTAAAACATTAGAGCATACAACTACTGAAGGTTAAAACCATTTCAGACACTGTGAAGAACCAGAACTTGACTCCATGTGCAAATTGCAGTGCAAGGAGTCACTTGAACCCCTCTTCTACACTGATGTCTCATTTTGCTACAAAATTAGTGCCAGCACTATTTTGTAGGTTTACGACTGCAGTGGACACCACACCACAGCTCTGCTCCAAGACATTAGTGTTAAAAAAATATATAATTTCCTTTATCATAGAATGGCTTGGGTTGTTAGAAGCCTTAAACATCATCTAGTTCCAACTCTCCTGTCACAGGAAGGGACACCTCCACTAGACCAGGTTGCTCAAAGACACATCCAACCAGCATTGAAAACACTTGCAGGGAAGGGCACCCAGAACTTCTCTGGGCAACCCATTCCTGTGCATCACTATCTTTATAGTGAAAAATTTCTTCCTTACATCTGATGTAAGCCTCTTTATCTTTAAAGTCATTACCCCTTGTCCTAAAAAAAGGTTCACCATTTCTTGTTTAGTTGCACTATTTCTACTTACCACCTTAACTGAAACCCCCAATTCATTGTATTGCTTGAATTAGCATAATGAGGTCTGGATTAAAAGTGTTAAAAATTGAGGCACTAAGAGGAAGACAAAAGATGCCAGTATTCAGTGTCACTCTCCTTATCTCTTGCAGAAGCATTAAAGCAAAAGAGTTAGAGTATTGCTATTACAACATGGAGACTGAGGTTGTGCTTCCACAGTCTGCACTTGTCCTTATGCTCCAGGGGACCACAATCCCACTTCTGCCAACCCCTATTTGTGGGGCCAGTAAATTGCATATGCAGGATGACCTAGACTCAAACTAGTCTCCTTAAGTCCCTTCCAGGGCTCACTTCTAGGTCTTCCTGACTTACTGAACTGACAGTGAAGAACAACATGCTGTGCTAGCACAAGGGTGACATCCACATCCTGCTGCATGAGACTGAGGGGCTGACAAGGCCTTCAACTTCATTACTGCCAAGCCCCTGTTACTGTGGATGTCCAGCTTCATTTCTTAGCAGTATAAAAACTATCTGGAGAAGTTGAAAGCACTTCAGTATCAGACACTTTGTCAAAAGGTGATACTAAATTTATAACCAAATATTTGACAGTAGCTGTTTCTCTCCCTGAAAGGTATTAGTTTCCAATTGCAGAAATCAAAAGTACAGTCCACAGATTCTTCCATACTTAAGAAATCCGTGTAACCTCACAGCTCCTCCAGTTCAAATGCGAGGGGGGGGATAAGAAAGGAGAAACAAGCACTTGATTCTCAAAGTTTTAGTAAAAATTTTCAAGGATGAAGAAAGCAAGGACAACTAATTGTTTTCCAATTTCTGAATCGCTGCTTAAAAACTAAACCAAATTAGCTCACATCTAACATGTAACTGAAATTTCATAGAAATTTTCAGAGAAACACGTTTCAACAGCTTTTTTGAAGGTTTATTCTAATTTTAATCCTTGAGCTTGTCAGCCATGCAAACTCTTCCGCTTCTTTATTTTTTAAATTCTGTTCATCTTTTGTTTCTATTTACTGGTTTTTGGCCCAACAAATATTACAGGAGCACGTTTTCTGTATCTTATTGCTCCTCCTAAGAATGCTCTTAATAAACCTACTTAATACTCCCCCTGAAACCAGCATAATGTAATTCTTTCCTCAAATAATGTATAAACTGCAAGTTATTGCCCCACTACAGTGTGCTGTTATCTCAGCATACCCTCCTATCCAAAAGTTTGTACAGATGCCATCAAGAACACATGGGTTAAAACTCTTAATTTGGACTTCTTTTCTTGTGCTTTATTAGAGCTGAAGAACAGAATTGTATCTGTTTTAATTGACATCATTCTGTGGTCCATATATGCACTCCAATCAAGTCATCACAAGGCCTGTAGAGTGCATTTGGAATAATTTGGGATTATTTTTGCTGATACAACATTTCTGTCGTACTCTTGTTAGAAACAAAACCACGAGATGTTTCTGGATCTGAATTCACAAAAATATTCCTTGATCTTGCGCATGCAACCACCTGCTCCCATCTTATCAACTCTTCGGCCATTCCTAGTAGCAAACACGAGTATCCAGGAGTATGGACTACTCTCCCATTTCCCAAGTAAACATACACTTGGGGGTAAAAAGATTAGGAAGAAGGACTGTGTGCGGCCGGTGAAGGAGAAGTGTTTACAGACAGGCTGGAGCATTATACTCACCTGGGGAATGAATGGCTGGGCTGCTCCTGTCTTGGAGAAGATACCTACCTTAACCTGTCTGTCTGTAGGTGGTGAAGACGCTTGAGGCAAGAAAGCGCCTGGGGCAGTCAGTGCCCCTCTCTGTGAGATGCCCGCTCCTGCCTCTTGCTTAGTGTGAGGGATACTTACCCATCAGGGATAGTGTTCTTCTTTACCATGCTGAAAGCAGGAGCAGGCAGAGCAGGAGGCAGCGGTGAAAGTGGGCACTGCAGCAAAGGAGAGAGAACCGCGCGGTTAACACGGTGCTAATCTCTTTCTCCATCAGCGGGCCTTTGTATAGGGCTGAGTCTCAAGTAAAACAAACCAAGCAGCCAGCTGGGGCTTGAAGCCGTCCTGAACAAGTTCTGCACCTTGCAAGCTAGCCTACTTCTCCACTGCTACTGCGCGACAAGAGGGAAAGACAACTCACCTCTCCTCTCCAGGTGATCACAAGAGAGAGGAGAGGCGGCAGGTTTCTCTGTAACTCTGGCAGCAGCGCTGCAGGCACGATGATCTTCCCGGCAGTCCCACTCTGCGGCTCGGAGCCGTCTATTCCGCCCTTGAGCTCCCAGTTAGAACCCGTCTCAAGGAGAAGAACCTCCAGGTAGCTGCAAGAAGCGAGGCCGGCACCTCAGCAATGGAAGGACCATCACCTGCTCCCCCCTAACCTACAGCGGTCCGGCCCCGCTGGACGCCGGGCGCCCGCCGACCTTGGGGGGCCCGGGCTGGGAGGGGGGCGAGGGGAGCGGCCCCCATGGCCCCGCTGCACGGATGATGCTGATGAGGCTGCCCCTCACAGCCGCATGTCCCCGGGGCAGGACGGGCTGCGGGGCCGGCCCAGGGCTCGACAGCGGCTGAGCTCGGGGCAGGGACAAACAAGAGACCGGGGCGGGGGAAGTCGCGGCCCGGCTGCGGGGGGCGGGCAGGCGGCTGTGGAGGGAGGCGGGCGGGCTGTGAGGGGAAGGGCGCGGGCTGCACACGGTGACGGGGAAGAGCCCGTGCGGCGGCGGGGCGGGGCGGGGAGCGCGGGGAGCGCGGCCAATGGGGCGAGGGGCGGTGGCGGCTCCGCGCGTGCGCGGGGCGGGGCGGGGCGCGGAGAGGCCGGGCCGGGCCCCGGGAGCGCCGCATCCCCGGGAATGCTGGTGCGGGTTTGTTCCGCTGGATGTGTGGAGGTACACCACCTCCGGTAGTCAAGGATGTGCAAGTGATGTCGATTTAAAAAGCAGCTAATCATCTTTGTTGCTTAAGCCAGTTTTAAAAGTTCTTGACATTTGTTATTGCCGTGTGCTCCTGCACGCCGCTCTGAGGTGGTGTCTGTGGGAGGCAGCCGGGATGGTTGTCAGTATCAGAAGCACGTTCTGAAAAGTTAAACCATGATTTACTGTGAAACAGCTGTTTCACGAGTAACAGTGTTGCTCGTCAGAATTTTTTTGTTAATACGTTTTTATTTCTGCTTGATACGGAATCCTTTACCACAGCTCATGGAGCAAGTACATTAAATATTCTTGGCCTTTTTTTGTGTTTTTCTTTGCTCTGTGGTATCTCTTTTCCTCAAAGACGTCCTTCAGTCTTCAGTAAGTTCTTTGGGGCAGCAGTTCTGAGGTGCCTCATTTATGGAATTTACAAATCCCCTTTCTATATGCTGCTCATGATGCATTGGATGTATTGGATGAGTCTCTTGGTGCTCAGTATAAACTGATAGATCATGCCTCTTCATTTCTTTCAGTATTATTTAACCTTTGACCATTTTTAAAAATTTCCTGCATAATCACTAAACATCAGCACTTATATTTTTAATTGAATCATTCATTGAAGTTCATTTTAATCTGAGCCTTTGGGATGTCAGTAGAAACTGAAAAGGACAAGAGAGAACATTTTGTTAATAACAATGCTGCTATAGATCAGGAATAGCTCTTGGTTTTGAATGTGTGGATTTGCATAACCATAGCTGAGAGCGGAGTCCTTTTTGAAAAGGGAAAACTTGCATCAAGTGATTTGGCTTGGACTTTTTACAAATAAATATTTGTGTTTTTTTGAGGGATGCTCGTAGGCAGTTTGGTTATATTGATAGATTGAAGGAAGACGAAGTAATCGTGGCTGAGCCGTGCCTGTAAACCAAAGATCTTGGAAAGGCGATCTTGACTTTCAGAAAAAAGTTCTAACAGCCCTCTGAACAACATCTGTGTTTTCTGTTCAGCAGTACAGTGTGACACTACCCAATACTTCTCATCCAATAAATGTTAAATAAAGGTTTGAATGTGGTAGATTCTTTACAGCATTTCACCGAAATCGCTTTACACTGGTTTTTGAAAGAACGCAGTAATACCCAGAAGCAAAGTAGATTAAATAAAGTCATTAATTTACTTTCTTATATGTGGGGGCGAGTCTGAGCGGGGCGCTCCGGGCGCGGCCCTGCCCGCCGCCGCCAGGGGGCGCCGGTGCCCCGGGCTCGGCGCTGGGCGCGGCCCGGAGCCGGCCGTGAGGGAGCGGGCACCCCAGGGCGGAGCGGCCCGGCCTTGCAGCCCCTTCACACCCGTGCCAACCTCGCCTGGGAAAACGGGACAGCCGCTGGTCAAGCAGTTAGTGTGTAGGGAAAAATATATCTGGGGTTATGCTCCGCTGGAAGCTTGTACTGAGGATGTTGGTAGACGACAAATAGAATGGCTTGTAAAACAGAACCTGCAGGAAGGTAGTACAATAAAAATACTTATTTACATATTTCCTGCTATTGTGCAGCAAAACTTAACGAGTCTGTTAGGAATGTATTAATTTTATTTTTACGTGCTTACATTGAACAGTCCCATTGAACTTGGTGGCATTTCCCGTGGTTTAAGGTAGAGGTTTCTGGGTTTAGTTTTCTCATTCTCTCAGCAGCAGCAGTAGTGACTGCAGATGCTGTGTGAGGTCTTTCTGCTGGGGAGGGATTCTCCCAAACCTCTGTAAATACTTTCACTGCCCTAAATGAGGAACCTGTGCTGCTGTCTTGGCCATCCTCATCACCTCAGCCTCAACTTTGCACCTACCTGAGCAATGCTGGTATGGCAGTATGCAAAATACAGACTGCCTAATGTTGGAAGAGTACTTAAAGAAAGTATCATTTACTTGTTCTGCAGATCCATTGTATTGTCTTTATTGGGGACTGAATAGTGCCTAGACAGACCTGTAATCTGACCCATTAATTTTTTTTTTTTTTGTAGCTTCTCTGCTCTTTACGCTGTGTCATAAGGCAAATGGCACTGCTATTAACTGGAAAATGTGGTCTAGCATACATGAGGTGCATTTAGAGTGACAGTTCTGTACCTTGATCTACACTTAATGGAACCACTGTGAATGGAGCATCTGGTAGAACAAGTTTTCATGTAAGGACATGTAAGGACATGTAAGTATTTATTTTACTGAGATCAGTAAGGAAACCTGTATATGTATTCAGGTATATTATTAAACATATTATGAGAAGAAAATAAGTGTACAAATGGCTGCTCACTTGTATTGTGTTAATAGTTGGAGGAAGTTTGTGGAACTTACTAAGACAACCTCATGTCTCGGTCCTGCTGGAGCTGCCTGTGACCCCATTTAAGTGTCTCTATGTTCACAAACAACCTCTCTTCACAATCCCCCTGCTCTTGGAGCAAGTCGAGGATGACAGTGCCTGCTACAGCTACTGTGCTTTTTTCACTCAGGTCAGGTTGGGCACATCTGCCTGCCTGAAAGTGGGGACCAGAACTAAATTCAGTCTTCTGCAATTTCCAATTGACTTTCTTCCCCTCTGTCCACACATTCTTCATTTATCTTGTGGTGATTTGTTTCTGTTTCCTGACTAAATAGCTTCCTCTTGTTTCTTCTCTAGCACCTGTGGATTGTAAACCACATGCTGGAACACAGATAAACTGGAAATTCTACAAATATTTTATAAAAATATTTTAAAATTGCAAGCATGTCTTCAGCACATCACTGCTTTTCTTAGTTTTTAAAGTGCTATCTGATCAATATCAGATATTCATCAAATGCTTAGCATTTGGGTACCAAATTGATCTTAATCCCAAAATACAGTTATCTAATTTACTCACACTGTGAATATCTCTGCTTTGCATGGTCCTGATGTAATAAGGTTCAGAGAAATACTATTGCTTGTAGGAGGGTTGACATCAACCCTCAAGGACTGAAAACATAAGAGATTGTATCGATGACTGAATGACAGAATATGATTATTCAGCTGATATAAATCTTACTTTAAAAATCACTTAAATTACAAACCTAGCTGATAAATTTAATTAAATATCTTTTAAGACTACTAATGTGTTAGTATCACATAATAGTACAGGAAGAATTATCATGTGTAGTATCAGTAATGATATATTAAACATATGAAAATTTGGATAAAAATTAGACCTTAATGTAACTGTCACCAGATGGATAAATTGTTATCACACAGAAGCACCTTTTGTGACATCAGTAGTAAGTCTGGATCATATAATCACAGAGTCATAGAATGGTTTGGGTTTAAAGATTATGTGGTTCCAGAGCCCCTGCATGGACAGGGACACCTTCCACTAGATCATGTCATTCAGAGCCCCATCAAACCTAGCCTTGAACACTTCCAGGATGGGGAATCCACAGCTCATTATTTTTAATAATCTGAAATTTTACTATTTTTCCTCCCACTTACCTGAAAATTATCTAAAATAATTGCTGAGAAAAATCTGCTGCTGGAAGGAGGCACTCATACATAATGGTGCAGATCTCTTAATGACTCAGTTATGAAAATTTGCATTTGTAGCCATTAAAAAGTCATTGTTACTTAAAAAATGGGGAGTATGTCTACAAAGTATAACTGTTCTTCACAGTCACTTTGAAAATAATTTAGATGTCAAATGACTAATGCCTGAATAAAAGCAGCTAATGCTCTTACAGGAGCATCTTTCTGCTCTTTTGTAGAAATGGTGAGTGACACTTCATTAACTGATGAAGTGTTACTGGAATAGCCACAGGGAAGGTTGTGAGGTGCTCAGGTGGTTTTAAAATTACACCAGTCAAGGTGGGCCAGTTTACTTTTTTTTTTAAATATAGTTTGTAAAATGATTTGAAGTGAACGTAGCATGCTTTGTACTAATAGTGCCCAAGCCCCTGACTGTGCCCTTGCTGTAATAAGTTCGGTTACAGCTACAGTGAGTGACAGCTCAAAAAAACCAGATGAAGTCTGGGCTGGGTTCTGAACACCATGTCCTTATCCTGAAAGGAGACACCAAGGAATATGATATTTCCTCACCAAAAAGAGTTCTCTTTGAACTCTGATCTGACAGGCTGTTGATACTGACCTCCAGCTGTTTTGTCAAGTATTTGTTTGTGGAGCATGTTTTCTGAAGGTTTTAGAGAATTCATTTTTTTCTCCTCCATTAACTCTAAATTCAAGAAAGCATCCTCCTTCAGGGAAATACAAGCTCATCAGCAATTCAGATGTTAGAATGCAGGTGAGTTGCTATGGCTGTGAGGCAGAAAAGTGTAAATTTTGTTTGTGGTCCATTAAAATCAAGTGGAAGTTTTACTTTATTTGGAGGGGCAGAGAGGGTGACTTTTCAAATATATTGAATATATATATATCCACACACAATCATATTGAGTGGCTTTTTCTATTCTGTCAATAAATTTTGATTTAGATGTACCTTTCTTTCCAGATGAAGAAGAAATGACATGCTCTGATGGCAAACTCATGCATGCTTTATCACGGGCACCTGATGGAGGAAGTGCTTTCCTGTAGCTCCTGTTTCACAGGTGATAAATTCACCTGTTTGATGCAGCCTTGCTTGATGCAGCTGGTAATGAATTGTATATTTTTAAGTTTTATCAGCGTTCTCATCTGTTAGAATTTCATGCTTAGATCTGTGGGAACTGTTTGTCAGTTGGTTTAGGGTTTCTTAGTGCTTCCTAGTTGATTTTTTTAAATAGCTATAATGTTAAACCAGGTGACCTGATTAATCTGTCAGAATTTGAAATGTGTTTTAAAAATTGCCTACGTTATAAGAAATTTCTGTTGCCATTTGTTCCTTTAAATGTTCTGCAATTAATGATAGATGGCTTTATTTTAATGTGCCAAGAAATATCAATGCAGAAATAGCTACTGGAATTTGATGGCTCACTCACAGGCAAATTTATCAAATAGGCTCAAGCAGTTGAGTTTGATCCCAAATATCCTAAGTATTCATGTATGAGGGTATCCATATATGATGGAATTCATTATGGTAATGTTTAGCAGATTTTGATATTCCATCTTCACATGTTTTTTTAAAATGAAATACATATTGTCCATACCGTAGTAGGAGTATTAAAGGGTAATTGTAGATACTCTTAATATTTTTCATGCAAGTTCTTTGGCTTCAAGATTACAAATAACAGGGACCAAGTTAAGGCTTGTTGTGTTTTTAGAAAGTCTAACAGATAAAAGAAAAGCATGGGAACAAACTGAAGCAGTTATCACAGTTATTTAAAACCCCAGAGCAGAACTGTTGCCTGAGATTAGGTCTCATCCCAGAATAGCCCAACAGAGGAAGCTGTATCTCCTGCTGCAGTGGCAGAGGGGTCACTTGTGTGCCTGGGATAAAGGTCCTGTCCTCTCCAGGACACCCAGATGTCCTGTGAGACTCAGGAGCTCTGGGATGCTCTGAGCACAGTGGGTTTATGGCAGGAGCTCAGATGAGCCCTGGAGAGCTCAGGCCTCAGTTCTGAGAGCTGTGCTGGATATTTGTGTGTCCTGTGCAGCTGCCTGTGCTCCCTGTGTCTGATGCACCTCGTGACTCACAGGTTATTAGCAGTAATATCTGATAATCCAGTGAAAGGAGAAAAAACAAATTAAATTGTTTTGTAAGAAACATCTTTCATTTGCAATACTACTTCTTAGAAAAAGACGTTTTAAAAATTTTTGTAATGCAGAGAAATATTTATGTACAATTTAAAGTAAAAATATACATCTTTTTCTACTTTTCAGAAATTCACTTCAGTAAAAAAAGTATGAACTTGTTTAAAACTAAAAGACATTGCAATTAGACCTGATAAATAATTCTGGCTCAGATAAGCCATGTTCTAGCATATGCTTATGCTACTGGTGCTAGTCAGAAAGATATATCAGAAGTCTTGAAGAAGTTTGTGTAAAGTCTGTAAAGGTTAATTAAGGAAAAAGTTATTTTGAAATTGAGGCAATTTGTAAAAACCCTCCAGCTTTGCCCTTACATTCTTTCACAGTATGCAGGATCCAGGGAACAAAACATTCCAAAATACTTTTGAACAGCTGCAAGAAGAATTTAACTTTGTTACTGAAAAAGATATTAAAAAGTCTAAATGCTTCCAGCTGTTGCAGTAGTAAAACTTGTGTTTATAGGGAGATACAGCATACAGTATTTCAGGAATTTGGTGTTTCAGATACAGTCTTTGTTTTAAACTTATATTTGATAAGTTGTGTTACACTTAATCTCTGATTTTTTAATATTTTCTGAGTCAATCTTTCCTGTTCTTTTATATGTTTATGTAGCAGAGAATTTTGTTCATTATCAACCTAAATGCCAAGTTAGAGCTATCTATACTTTCAACACATTTGGATTTACTGTAATTAGAAGCATATTAGATATATTAGTTAAGAGTACAAATTAAAAATCCAGTAAGAATTTTATTATAGCTTGCAAAATGTTACTTATAGGTATTAGATACATATTGAAATGCTATGGTACTTTGAAGAAAATTCACAATTTTTCTCTTGAATATTCGCAAAGTGAAGCTCTGGGTAAAAACTTTAAAATGTAGTTAATACCCAACATTTTGATTAGATAACTGCATCTGGCATGCTGATTTTTGTAGACTGCAATCCTTCACATTCTTGACTGGTGGGATTGTATATTTATGAAACTTTGTGACCCCTCACACGGAGCTGCCACAATTTATCATGAGCTGGAGCTCTGAGGCAGAGCAAGGGTCAGCAAAGGCAGTGGCATTACAGCAGTATGGGCATTATTCCTTTCTAATGGTTTGGGAAAATTTCTGGGTTCTCTAAAGTGTGAACTCTTCAGCTACATTTAGAAATTTCCAAAGGACTCTGACATCCTCTGAAATACTTTTGCAGTTGAAATGCTGGAAATTTTTTTTCAAAAAGCCAACTGGTATGAACTACTGTCTTTTCCTTCATTAAAAATTCTCATTGCTCCTCTTTCAATTAGTTGTTTCAAAAATTGGATATCATGAGAATATATCTATCACACCCCTAGAAGAGTTGTCCTAATACTTAGATATCACAATGCTTTATTTCTGTCATGTACTCCAGTTTAAATTTACAATCAGCTTCCTGGACTCCTTTGTGGTGTGCCCATATCTGCTAGTTCAGGATCCCATCCTAGATATGTTCTTCTTGTGCAGAGCTGATAGGCTTTTGGTGGCACTCTGTGTTTGGGAAGTTAAATTGACTTTCCTCACTCTGTCTCTAGAATGCAAGTTTTCTTGTAAATGTTTCTTGCAACTCTTTCTGAAGCTTTCCCATTCATTGAACTAATAAATTAGGGATTTTTTTTTGGTAATAAATATTTTCATAGTGCTCAGTCTTTATGGCAAGATTAGCTATGAAATTAATGGCTTTTAAAGTGTTTTCATGCAAAGGATAGGTATATTGTGGGAGTTACAAGTTTTTGAGGACCATTTTTATAGAGATTTTTTTATAGTTTCCTGCCAATGTTTATGCTTTTCTTGATAGCTGCTGATGAGGCCAGGAAAAACTGTGTGAGTTCCCAAACCATACAGAGAACATAAATGAAAATAAAACCTGTGATGTTTGATACAAACAACTGACACATAGACTGATAGTTTGAAGTATCTACTATCTCAATTCTCAAACCCTTTGTAGCATGGCAACCTTGAAAAAAATCCCTTCCTGACTAATGATGCAGTTGTTATCTTTATAGATTTTATAAAATTATTTTATACCCTTCTTGTAAACAGATGTGTCCGCATGAGTGCTGTCAGTGGCAGCTGTACACAGGGCTGTTCATCACATGCTTATTTGAAGAGGTGTAGATTAAAAAATTCTGGTAATTCCAAAGAAATTATAGTTGCATGAGCAGATGTCAGAAGCAGCTGAGTTACCTATTCATCTATAGAACATCCTATGAGTGAACTGCCAGGTAAAAAGGGAGTTGGAAGGTATCAGTAGGTGGCAGAAAAACACTGGTATTACCTGTGGCTTTACCTGTGTAACCAGCACCTGACATCTCTGCCTTTATAATATTTTAAAGTTTCCATCTTTCCCTGTGCTGAGCTCCAGACCCCTTTGCAAGACTTCTGTTTCCATGTTTTCAGTTATGACAGCCTAGTGCTGTATTACTGTTCTTCAAATAGTTCAAATCTGTCATCAGAGGGAACTTTCCAGATGCTTTGATGTGAAGCAGACAGCTTCTCTTTCCATGAGAAGGGAAGTTTGAGGGGTGGTGAAATGAGAAAGTGTTCTCAACACTAAGAACCCTTGAACTGATACCAAAATTGCTCTAGGATACTGCAACCATCATTTGGAATACTTATTTTGCTCTTCTGTGGATTTGATTTTTTTTTTTTTTTGCTAGATGTCATTTTTGTATCAGTTTGAAAAGGTGAACTCTGAGCTTAGGACTCTTGAGTCTTTGATCTGCACAGCATCATTTTGGATCCAGCAGTGCTTACTTCAAAGTACAATAATATATGAAAATCATGGCAGACTTCTGTGGGCTTTGGAAATTATATGACTGCATCAACTCTGTGCTCCATCTTGAGCTAAGAAAACTGGCTAGATCCAAGCTAGCATATGAGAAACCAGTTCTGCTATCTATACCAGCAGCACTGTTGGTTCTTGTTCAATCTGCCAACAAATAGTTTTAGCTTTGTGTTCACAGTGATATCATCTTTGCTTTTGTTAGAATGTGTTTCAGTTTCACATTGGCCACTCATATGAGAAAGAACTGGATTGGATCAGTTATCAGTCAGTTCTCAGCTCCTCTGGAGCAATTGAAAGTAATGCAAACTTAAATATAAAATATTTCTGTGGTATTTGTAAAACTCTGTAGGAGCTTTTGTTGCTATAAAAGTAAGGTGATAAGGTTTTCAGAGGGATGACACTCTGCAGAGTCCAGTAGTACATGTTATAGTACATATTATAACAGCAGCTCCACTGTATTATAATTTGTGAGAACTCTTGGTGTCCCTGTATGCCTTGGAGCTGGTATGAAGACAGCTCCCTACTTTTCTAGCATGATTCCAAAAAAGGCTTTTCCCAAAACCTTTTTAAGAAGCATTTCTTTGTCTGATTTGTGACTACAGTGAAAGGTGCTGGCATATTTCCCTCATGGAGGCTCAAGGAGGAACTGAAATTAAGTTTGTCTGAGCAACACAAGGAATTCCAAGAAGAATAGAAAGTTCAGTCACAATATTTGGATTTTAGTCTATTCAAGCTCCAGACTCTGTGTTTAGCCATAGCTGATGACTGTCTTGAGCATATACACAGTAGGAAGTTGGGAATAAAAAATTTATTTAACGGGTATTTCGAATATGGCTGTTTGAAATAAAATGTTTAATAGGCTGTTTTAAAATCCTTTTATTGAAATAAATTTTAAATAACTTTTTCAACTTGAATAGGGGCATGGAAAGTGAATTGCAGAATACTAAATGTCTTAACATGATAGAATAGAACCATAGAATGGTGTAGGTTGGAAAAGACTGCCAAGTCCATTTAATTTTACAAGTTCCTGAGATTGTCAGTGTTTAAGTGCATCATTCCAAGGTACCTCTTCCACTTCTCTGAGACTAGAAAAGTGTTTCCCAAGATAATTTTTCCTCCTGGGAAAAGTCCACTACTGTTCTTCTTGTCAAGTGTTGGTGTCCTTTTACAGAACTTAGCAAGTAGAATCCTTTGAGGAAGATATAAATAATTAATTGTAGTGGATTTCATGTGCCTATACCACAAGTTTTACTTGGATACACCTTGAATTAGACATTTATTTCCTAATGCCTTGGAGCATGTAATATTATTTACCTACATAATTTTCCTCTGTAGTTAGGCTTTGAAGTTACAAATCAAAGTAATTTGTCTGTTCTAGTTCGTAGGATACTGAAAGAAATAGTTCTTCAAAGAAGATGTATTTCTAAAAGAAATGTAAAGCACAATTTTCAAATAGAGTAAATAATAACTTGTGGTTTAACAAAGGAGGAAAGAGTTTTAGTCATGAACTGTATTAAAAGTGTTGAATGTGCCACAAGAGCTATTGAATGTTGGTCTCAAATAAGTTATTTCAGCATCCAGTAAAAAAAGCAGAATTTGTGAATTTCACAGATTCCCCAAACATTCTGAGCTGGAAGGGACCCACAAGGATCAAGTCCCACTCTTTGACTGACAATTTAATACTGTAATTGACAACTTGCTAGTAGTGGCTGTGGAAGCTGAACCAGTAAAATGTAATTTTATCACAATTCCTAAAGGTGTTTTTTCAAGGATATGTGCTTTTGTGTTTTAGAGCTAAGTCTTTAATTCAATAAATGTTTGCACATCTTTATTTCTGTGCCTGGGAAAGCATACAGCACATGCAGAGTTCAGCAGAACTGAGTATACACATCTATTATACCACAAAATTGTACTGAAAAGTAACTGTATCAAGTCTAGGAAAGTGCTCTTCTTTCTGCATTTAATCAGATTTACTGAGTGGAAGGTGGAAGAAATCCCATCATAGACCCTATTGACTAATTTGCATTAAGAGATATTTCTTCCTTACCTCCATTAGTATTTGGCTTAAATCCTGAATGATTTCATTAGCTATGTAAGGGCTTAATCTCTTGAAAATCCTGCTAAGCTCTTGCCCTCATTGAAAGCTGTGATAATTTGTTCTAGTTAATTTTGATTTAAATATATAGCCTTTCAGTTCTAGTTAATCATCTTGGCTTTTTTTTTTAATAATAATGACAAGATGAATAAGAACACAATTTTTTTCTTTATTTTATTATTTTGCATCCCTCTGCTGTTTAGTCTTAGAATCTTCTTTTAAACAATACCACTTTTTTCAATTTGTCAATGCAGTCACTGCAATTGTAAGTGAGGTAAAATGAAATACTTATGGTAGTTGATGTCTTTAATCCTGTTTTTTCAACCTAAAGGAATATTTGAGACAGCTATGATTTTTGCTGTAATTATTCTTTTGACATATGAAAGACTTAGATTTATTCAGAGTTGTCCTGCACCTTTTTTCCAAAGGAAAGAGAACAACTTGCAAAAGGTTGTAGAAGAAAATGCTTCTTTAAATGTTTTATATTACTGCAAGTATGTAAGGAAGCTAAATAGTGTTTTTAATTTCTTTTCTCATGGAAGAACACATAATTTCTGTTACCCATTTTGTGTTGATATAGGAGGGAAAATTGCATTTGTACTAACTCCAGAAAAATTCTTTTGGAATCTCTTAGTGGGGCTGTATTGCAAGGGGATGTTATGAGCAGTTTGATACTTTTTTATCCTCTCCAGAATACTGACTGCATTGTGAATGGGGAGAATTTAAGAATGTGGTGATAGGATGGTTTCCTGTTAAAAAAACCCAAGGCATGTACTAATATCAAGAATAAACAGGAACATATAAACAGGGATGGCTTATGGAAACAAACAAAACAGGCAGTTTTTTCCAGGAGAAAGTGGCAATGGAAGTGCTTCCAAGCTAGTTTTGTGTTGTCACAGTCTGGCTGATCAAGGAAGTGGAAAAAATTCTTGATGGTCTCTTGTAGGTGTAGTGCTGGCATGCTTGCTGCCTTTTTAGCAACCAGCTCTCCCAAGCCTGAGGATACTTTACAAGGAACTCCCAAAGGAGTCTTACAACCACCTCTGCGTAGTGGGAGGATCCCTTTGGAGCACATAACCCAAACCCAGGCACAGAAGTCTGAAGGGGACTTTCCTACCAGTTAGAGAACCCCTTGCCCAGTAAGGCCTTATCCACTTTTCCCATTTGCCATTCAGCTGTTTTTGGATGTGTGGCCACACACCTACTCCTTCATCTGTCAGTGCAGATAGTCTTCAAGGTATTCATAATCTCTGCTAAAAGAGAATGGAATATTCAAGTCCTTGGAGATTGTCCTTACTGCACCACAGCAAACAGGAGCTAAGATAAGGGCTGAGATGGGATGCAAGTCAGGAGCACAGAACTGCTCTCCAAAATACAGGCACTTTGCCTGGAAACTCAGGCTTTGTGGTATTTCTGAAGAATTTCTACACCTCTGGAGATCTGCAGCAGTGCTGTCTGGAGTGTCATCAATCCCCCTGCAAAATCTGTCCATCCAAGCATACAGAAGCACTTAGCAAAGCCTTGCTGCTCTTTGTGTTCTTAAAATAAACAAACAAATAGAGAACTCTTAAGTAACATATCTGATAGTTGTTGGAGAGGGTAAAGCAGAACACCATTTGGCAAAATCTTTCATGACATCATGTTAACAACAGGCAGATTGACAATCTGTCCTCCTCTGCATGGAGTCTCATTAATAAATCTGTAGGTCAGACTGAAGGGAGGGCAAGTGTTTTAAAGTTGCCAGTCTGGTGAGCTTGAGTACTGAAATACCCATAGTGTAACTGTGCATACAATAATTTTCAATTACTTCTATTCAATTTTATGTTTTAATTTTCTAAGTTTCTAAGCAATGCTTTACATATTTTCTTTGTTTTCTTCAAGATGATAAAGATATCTAGATACCTGAGGGTGCATAGAAGAAGGAGTTTAAGGAGAAAATAATTATGCAGTTACACATTGTTTGGTTTGGGGTTTTTCTTTTCAATGTCCAGTAGCCAATGCTTTCCTTTGTCAGAATGCATGCCTTGTTTATTGAAGTTAGAGAAATTTCTTACATTACCTTTAATTCCAGGAAAGAGCAAACAGTCTAAAGTAAGCTTCACAATTGTACTTGTGCCCTAACTTCTAAAATAGCACTGAGATGGAGACTAGAAACAGTGTGTGTTTTGTTATTGCTGCTTTACTTGGTGTTTCAAAAAATTGCTGTTGACCACCTTTTAATACAGGATGACCAACTGGGCACTTGCACTCACTCAGATAAGGCCTTATCACAAGACTTTTGTTCCTGTGAACATTCAGAATGCAGAGTCAATAAATTATTGCAGGAATATGCTACATTACTTTCTGGCTTATATATATATTTTAACCACAGTATTAGAGTTGGAAAAAGTTTTTATTTCTGGTGATGTGTCAGTCACTAAAATGTTGACTTTAAAATTCAGATTTTAAGCTAAATTTGCAATGCTGGAAGACCATAAATAGCCTCACATTTAAAGTAAATAATGAACCTGGGTCATGGGAAGCAGAGATAAGGCTTTTCTTGTTACGTACAAACACAAAAATAGCTGGACTTGCAATTTCAAATCTGAAGCTGAGACTTCTACTGAAATGTTGAAAAGTATTTGGCAATCCTTGTAGTTGTTAGGAGACTCAGAAATGTCACGGGTAGTTCCTATTTTGTAATTACTGTAAAAAAAAAAAAAATTTGAGATTTCAAGGCCACAGTCTAGACAGACTTGACTTTTGCTGCCTTAAGAGTGAGGACAAAACTTCCCAGATCAAAGTATCCATGTAATATGCATGCTATCATTGTATTAGAGCATTGCCTTTGTTCCTTACAGGGATGGAGTACAGCTTGCTCTCCCTCTGGCCCTAGATCCTCCAGAAATGTTTTCACTATCAGTGGTTTATTCCTAAATGGATGGGTAAAAGTTAAGAGGCCTCATAATTTCATTTTTTAACTTTAGACAAATTAGATTTTAAGCAAGCTTATTAATTTTTGTGAGTCAGCCTTGCTACAAATATACAGTGTGCACAGTGTTACAAAGAAACAGAACTATTTCTAGCAAGCAGCAGTTATCAGAAGTTCAAAACAATCAAAAATATCTGTGCTAGGATACATCATGTGATTCTACAGTGCCTGCAGCATGACTGACCCTTCACAGCTATTGTAAATAACACAAGTGCTTGTGGCTCTTGACAAGAGGCTATTGCCACATCTCCTAAATGATTTCTAGTATTAGAAATCTGAGATTGCCAGCATTAATGGTTGCTTTTTTGCATGAGAACAAAATGAATTCCCCCCGCTGGCTCTTGAGCTACTCGAGTTCTTTTGTTCTTTATTTCTTTGTTACAGCTGTGTACTAGACTCATTGTTGAAGTGTACAATATTTAGCATATGCTGTGGCTGCAATTAGTTTTAAAGCTCTTCCTGCACGATTTCCTTCCTACTTTTTTTTCAATTGTGAAGCCTGAGTGTTCATGAAGCTTATGATATGTCACAGAAAACAAGGGGGGAGGGAGAGAAAAAGTCCTTACAGCTTCAGCCAGCTACACAGGGCAAGACAGTTTACATGCTTTTATAAAACACAGTACAAAGCATAACACACACTGGAGCCTTCTTACTCAAAACTAGTTTTATTTTAAAAAATAAGTTGAATGCATAGCACTCACAAAGATTCCATTGTTTTGGACATTTTGCATTTAGAAGCACCATTCTTATTTATGCCATAAAAAACACATTTTGGTTCTGATAGTAAGAACAGTGTATTTTAATGTACACTGATAAAGCCCTTTTAAATAATATAGATTGAAACTGTTCAGTGTACATTTTCTCTGTAGTCATGATGCAGCTGTAGTGTCAGAAAAAAAACTCAGACTAAGTAATAAATTAAAACAGTATGTAGTGGATCTTTTTACAATTGACCTAATGTCTTAAAATAGTCAAATAAAAAATACCCTATTAAATGTAAAGCTGTGGTATTAACTAAGTGAAAAAGCCCCCCACCCATTATAATTCCAGTGTTAAGTATTAGTTAAATTTTTATATATCAAATGCCTATGGGATAAATTTACTAATACCCCAAAAAAGAAGAGCCTATACTGCTGTGTCACAAAAAAAGATGACAAGTTAAATGATTTGAAGATTTTACAGAAAAAAATTGCTACAGGCATCTGCTGTTATTTCAAGTCATGGTCTATTACAAGACTGTACATTCATAGCATCAGAGGTAGTTAGAACACTGAGGACTTGGATACAGCATTGCAACAAAATGAAACCAGCAGAAAGAAGTCCATTTCCCTCTAAAATGGATAACAGTGCTGAGTGAAAAGCATGGCATCTTATAAGGTGGAAAGTCTCTACTTAACACTACTCTCAGACACAGGGAAATATTCATTAAGAGATGAAGAGAGGAGATGAAAAAACCAAACCAACTTTCATTTTAATAAGGAATTGACCACACTATGCCTATTTCAAAGTTGATTCTCTAAGATAAAAGGGAGAGGGTCATCTTTCCCATTCATCCTCCTATTCTTCTTGACTTGCACATCTATGCTACAAAAGCCCACAACAGAAATTGGAATTTAAGACAAAACAAGAGAAAGAGGATTTCTTCTCCTCAGCAATAAATAGGTTTTTTGTAGCATGTTATAATTTAGCTCTAGAAAGAATGAACACAGCTGTCCTCCTCCATTCTGAACATTGTGGTGATAAAGCTTTCATCTTCATATTGATAATGTAATTTAATTGCCCCTGCTTTCAAAACAGTTTCTGTAAGATTCACAATAATTCAGTGTCATTTGATGGAACACAACTTTAAGTGCTGCCACTAAGACAGGGAAGAAGATGGTGAAAAAACAAATGAAACTACCAAAAAAAAGCCTTAAGCCCACATACTATAAAGATATTTCAAAGCAGTAAGAATCCTGTTATTCATACCACTTCCTCCCACATTCTACCACAGGAGAAAGTCTGATATCTTCTTGTATTTAAAGAAAAAACAAAACACCCCCGTAAAAAAAAACCCAACAAACACACAAAAGGACCCCAAAAACCATCTCTGTTAATATCTCTACCATAATTTTCATCCAAGAGGTGGATGAGTGAAGCTTTCTACCCTCAGACTATCCACTCCACAGGAGACAGTGTAATTCCATAAAGTCATATTATTAGCACCTTACTTGTGCTGAAGGAGTTCACTCTGCTAAATATTTTTGATCCACCCACTTGGAAGAGCAAATCTCTACATCTTCTTCTGGAACTCCCAAATAGTAGAAGAAAAAGTTGCCCCTTTATTACCTGAGAATTTCCCTCCACTATAAACGTGACAGAACTGGATTTCTATCAGCATTTAAGTGTACTTTTTCTGTAGGAATGGTACTGTCAGTACAACTGGAGGATGCTTTCTGTTGGTTAATAGTATTCCTGTGTTTGTGTGTGTGTACAAAGAGGAATCACAGCCACTGTAGTAGTTCTGGTACAGTACAAGTTCAGTTGAAACTTTCTCTTTTCTTCAATTATCACACTGCTGGGCAGTAGTTCACATCTACATTCTGTGAACACTAACATATCCCTTTGGTACTCTGCATAGATGCCCTGAAGAAAAGCCACTCCACTTGCTATAGTCTCTTCCCCTTCTGCCTTCCTTCCCCGAGTTAAATCCAATTAGTGTACAAACCAGCAGCACAGAGTAACGAGTAGAAAAGTCCCTGAGTTAGTATGAAAGAGTTACTTTAAACACAAAAAAGATAGGGAGGATAAAAGAGGCAAAAATATACTGTGTGTCCTGTAAGGTACAAAACTGAAAAAACTAGCCAAAATACCAGTTAATTCACGTGTGTTAGCCTAATAACCAACACCAGTGGTGAAAAAGGGGCAAGATGATGGAGTTGGCCACATGAGATTTGTTTCTTCCTGTGATCTCCATGTACCTGTAGAAGTCTGGCATTCAGTGGATTCTTAAGTTTCAGTAAGTATAAAGTAAGTGTTAATACTGTACGGTGGGATGACATAAATGTCTCAAAATAATACTGCATATCTCCTTCATTAAAAGGTAAGTCTGTAGTTAGTCCACAGCTGTTTTTTTTTTTTTTGAGTAGTATTTCACAGACACACATTAGAAGCAGAATATTCTGAGTGTCAGAGGAAGAAGGCATTATCCCCAAGCATACAGATTCTTTTTCAGAGGATGGTCTGTGTGCTAACTTTTTGCAGGCTGTTATTTGAGCTGTGGTACCGGTTGCCAGTCCAGTTGCTTTCTTTCCTGGGAAGACACCTTTTTTAATTCAATTTTTTGCCCTCCAACTTTGAGGTTTAACAAAAATGAAACCGTTTTCCACACAACTCTCTGCCCCAAAAAAACAAACAAGCACAAAAGCAATTTGTACTTATCACCTCTCAAAGCAGGGAGTAATGCAGGAATATCGTCCGTTCACTTGGTACGTGCGGTTGTAGGAGACACTTATGCACGGCTTCACGTCCAGCGGCACAGCCAGGGACACGGCAGCGCCCGTGTGCGCGTGGCCTCGGGCCTGGGCGCTGCTCTGCAGGGCAGCAGGGCAGCTCTGCAGCGCGTAGGAGCCTGTGTGAGTAGATGACAGTATCTGCTGGCAGCTCTGCTGCTGTGCTGCTGGGTGGTGGAACTGCAAGGAGGACTGGTGAGCCTGCAGGTACTGTGGGACGTGCTGGTGCTGCTGAGCATTGGCCTGCTGGCCACTGGGAGCTGGGGGCTGAAACACGGCGTGCTGGGCAGAGTGAGCCTGTTGTCCTTTCTGCTTGTTTGCTTCCTTCACGTCGTTATCATGCGCACTAAAACAAAAGACAAAATACATCAAAATAGATATTCATGTAATTTTAACTCCTTTGAGTTAACTTTAAGAGCACTCTAAAAAATGATGCAAGTATCTGACAGCTTCCAAAACTTTAAAAAAAAAAATTAGTTTTAGCTACCCTTTAAAATCACCTAAGGTTTCAAAATGTGGTTAGGGTACACTCTCTTTCCAGCATTTCACTTCATTGTACAGCAATAAAAAACACAGATAAAAGCCAAGTACAATACAGGCAAGAGAGTGGGATCTAGAATCACAGTGCAGTGAAGTTTGCTATTGTACTTACATTGGCCAACAAATTGCTGGATTACTAGAACCTGAACTGGCTGCTTCTACTTAATTTAAATTAAACTGCGTATAAGGTTCCTAAAGGAAAGATACCAGAAAGATTTGCAGTATCTACATTACAGTACTTAAAGATCATATTCATATAGTATTAGATCCTGTTCTAGAGAGCAAAACCACTTCATTTTTTTTCCTTTGTCTCACCTTTTTTCTACCCTATCCAGTATGGCTCATCTGAATTCCCTTTGATTTACAACTGTCTGAAATGTATCTAGACATACTCTCTTTCTCAATTCTATGCTGAGGTTAAGCAGATGCCACCTACACATTTCATTACTAACTTTCTGATGGTGCCCTCCCTCTGTTCCAGAGCAATACTGAAAATACTTTTGCAACAGCACTTGCATGCTTAGGTACTACTCCTTTCATTATACACATAAGTGAAGCCAACAGAGGTCATCAAGGGTGATAATGTCACATTTCTAAGGCTGATGTGGTTCTTACAGATACAGCTGTGCATATTCTGATCACAGCTATGTTAGACTTGGGTAACAGCAAATTTCTGTAGAGGGAAAGCAGATTGTGTAACATGCCTACCCGGGAAGGTTCATTTGGCATTCATTGGAATTTTTATCTTATGTCAGCTGTAATGCAAAAATGGATACAGCAAGAATAGATATAAACTCGTGGTTATCTCCTCCTGCCAAAGCTGGTCACCCAAACAGTCTGCAGGTTTGATCTATCATCTCTTTGGAGCATGCCTTGAACTTCCAAGGCATACAGTCATAGGCTCCTTTGCCTTTGGCACTCTTCACTATCTCTTTGCTCTCAGATCAGACTACAGAGATTGGGAACAAGCTATTGAAGATGCTCAAAGCATCCCAGATGTTCAGTGGAAATGCAAGGCAGAAGTTTATTTGTTAAAAGATCAAGAAAGAGATTAGATCTGATAAAGTTTTCTCTTTTGGAAAGAGGAAAACAGTTATTGCCTAAAAATATGTACCAAACTTATACACAAGTATTTTTAGAACAGAGGAACGGAAATTTTTAAAGAAATATAATTGCACTGCTGGCAGCAATTAAGCATAACAACAGATACAGAGATGGGCTTAAAAAAGCCACTGGTGTTAACTCACATTAGGAGTCGCTCAATACACGGCACCAGGAAGTCCCAGGAGTAGGCAGTGAGGTGATGCAGCCGCGTGGGCCACGCGGGTGACAGACGCAGGATAATCCTTGAAGAAGCTACACATGCAGTAGCAACTAAAGAAGGGGCATAATTTAAAAATTCATGATCTAGAAAGAAGGAATAAGAAAAAAAAATCATTGAAGTTTGATATTGTCTGTCAAGACAACAAAGAAGTCATTGTCTGAAATCTGTAACTCACCTTGCAATGATACTTCCAGAAAGTAATCAGCATATTTTGCCATGTATAA